CAAGTGCGAAGAAATTGTTCGTCACACTACTCCAAAGATGCCGCAACAAAATGGAGTCGCTGAGCACATGAGCAGGGCACATCTTGAGAAGCCCGGTAGCATACTGAGTAACATTAGTTAGTCAAAGGATTTTGGGGCAGAGGTAGTCAATACACCATGTTACCTCATCAGAGGTTGCCATCTACCACAAAAGAATGCAAAACACCGCAACAGGCATGGTTTGGTAAACTTGCTAATTATTCCCATTTAAAAATTTTTAGTTGTCCTGCTTATATTCATATGGAGGATGATAAGTCCGAGATCAAAGAAGTGTATCTTCCTTGGTTATGCGAATGGTGTTTAAGGGCTATAGACTATGGTCGTGATGTTAAGTTTGATGAGTCTTCCATGTTGAAACACATTTTGAAGGGCACGAAAAAGGAAATCTGGTGATGCAGTTGAGGTGGTGTTGACAACTCTAGAAATTACTTTAAATTATATGCTAGAAAATCCCTGTGAAAGAGTGGAGGAGAATGTTGACCATGAGGAGGTCGTTGAGCCTACTCCAAATGAGAAAGAGCCTCAGCTTGGAAGGGGGGAAAAAACTAAGAAGTCAGTGGTGCAGTACTGTTTTAAGGACATCATGGCTCGTGCATTGATTGCAACATTCCAAGAGCCATCTGCTTTTGAGCAAGCTACACAGGGATATTGACATTAGTAGGTGATGCCATGAATGAAGAAATGAAGTCTCTTTAGAAGAATCGTACCTAGGATCTCATGAAGTTGCCCAGTGTTAAGAAAGCCATTAGATGTAAAGGTTCATCAATGGTGATCGGTTTAAGGCACGGTTGGTTTGTAAAAGGCTATGCATAGAAGGATGGTGTTGACTGTAATGAGATCTTCTCTCCAATTATGAAACACACTTCTACTCGAGTCTTACTAGTCATGGTTGCCTTGTTTGATTTGGAGTTAGAGCAGCTTGATGTCAAGATGAGATTCCTTTATGGAGAGTTAGAGGAAAATATCTATATTATGACTCAGCCTGAAGGGTTTGTAGTTAAAGGCAAGGAAGACCATATTTAGAAGCTGAAGAAGCCATTGTACGGCCTAAAGTAGTCTCCAAGGCAGGGGTATATACCCTTTGATACATTCATGATTGTACACGGGCATATCAGAAGTATGATAATTGTGTCTATTTCAAGAGATTTGTTGATAGATCGTTGATCTATTTGTTGCTCTATGTGGATGATATGCTTATTGCTCCGAAGAATTCTTCGAAATCAGTAAATTGAATAGTCATCTTGCTAAAGATTTTGAGATGAAAGATTTAGGTTCAGCAAAGAAAATTTTGGGTGTGGAGACATGTAGAGACAAAAAGTTCAGTAAATTGTGTTTATTTCAGAAGCTTGTGGGTACTCCTCTTATTGCACATTTCAGATTATCGGCAATATTATATCCATGTTTAGATTTCGAAAAGGAATACATGTCTCAGGTTCTCTATGCGAGTGCAGTTGGAAGCCTTATGTATGCAATGGTTTGCACTCATCCAGATATTTCTCATGTCATTAATGTTAGCAAATATATGGCTAACCCAAGAAAGGAGCATTGGCTTTTGTTAATATGAATTTTGCATTAGCTAAGAGGTAGATCAGATGTGGATCTAGTATTTGATAGAAGTAGCAAGTTTGGGTGGCAAGGTCATTAGTTATGTTGATGCTGACTTTATAAGAGATTTGGACTATAGAAGATCTACTACAGGTTATGTGTTTACACTTGCTGGAACTCTGATCAATTGAAGGTCGATGCTACAAACCGTGTTGTCTTGTCTACGATGGAAGCATAATACATGGATGTTACTGAGGTAGTGAAAGATGGCCTTTGGCTTTGAGGGCTTGTAAATGATTTGGGTTTACGACAAAATAGGACTAATGTCTATTGTGATAGTCAATGCAATATATTTTGCGAAGAAATGGGTATATTATGCAAAAACAAAGCATATTGATGTCATGTACTAGTTTATCCATGAGATAATAGCCTAGGTGATATCTTATTACCAAAGATTAACATGAAGTAAAATGTTGCGGATATACTGACAAAGATGGATCCATTACAGAAGCTCAAGTTGTGCTTGGACTTGACTAATGTGTTGCCAAGGTGAGGTGAGGTGAGCACCAGAGGCGGCGCATGTGGAGAAGATGGTCAATGGAACTCTCTTTTGGAATTCAAGCCAAGCTGGAGATTTGTTAAGATTGGCTTGAATCCCATAGATTGACAGGATTGTTTTTCCGTCTTTTAGGTCTCTTAGATATAAGGTAGTTTCTTATTATTTTGGGATTACCAGTAAGGCAGTAACTAACTTCCTTTTATGGAGGAGTTTGTGAAGTTCTATGTGGATTAGGATGCTTCATGTGAGTCCATATTTGAAGGGATAAGGATGGGATTCCAAAATGGTTTGGGAAAAGTAGGAGGGCCTCAACGTGGGTGTCTATGGGGTATTTTCTTTACTCTATATAATATTGTTTTGTAGAGAGAGAGAGAGAGGGGAGAGAGAGAGATAAGAAAGAAAAAAATGAAACTTTGGGTGTAGAGAGAGGCTTTGTGAGAGATTGTCTTCGGTTCTTTCAAGTTAGAGCCATCTTGTAATTTTTTTCTTTTGATTAGTGAAATACTGTCGATTGTCTTCTCTTAGTGGATGTAATCACATCTGTGACAAACCGCGTAAAATCTTGGTGTTCTTATTGCGTCATTCCTTTCCTACTTAATTTTTCCTTCTCATGGTTTGCTTGTTGCCGATTCTACCTCGCTCTTTATTTGCCAAAAATTCAACCTGTTGGGTTTTAGAGCTGCTGTGCATAACACAGTTCACAGGTACCCGCATTCATATTCAATAGCTTAACAATGAAAAGGGAAAGTTAGCTTATGCTACTCTGGTTTTTTGTGATGCAGACCAATATCAAATCACATACTTAATGAGGGTTTTAAGATGCTTTGAAATAGAATTAGGCTTGAAGGTGACTTTTGAAAAGTCATTGTTGGTGGGCATTGGTTGTCGTGATGAAGAGGTGATGAGGTTAGCTGACTTCTTGGTTGTAAGGTAGACAATTTCCTTTAAATATCTAGGGTTGGATTCAAGATTTCCTAGGTCTATTTGGGATCTTGTGATTCAGAGATTTCATGTAAGGCTTAATCTTTTGAAGGTGAAGTTTCTCTTTGGGAGGGAGGATAACCTTACTTAAATCAACTTTGTCGAATCTTCGTGTGTATTACCTGTCAATTCTCGGTATTTCCAATGTTTTAAGGAAGTTGGAAAACTTGATGAAGGTTTTTTTCTTGGTGGGGTGGACATAATGCCAAGAGGAAATATCATTTGGTGTCTTGGGGAAACGTCTTTAAGGAAAACTTGATGACGGTTTTTTTGTGGGGAGGGCATGATGCCAAGAGAAAATATCATTTAATGTCTTGAGGAAAGGTCTGTACTCCGTGGTATAAGGAGATTGAAACTATAGAATTGTTCTTTGCTGAAAAAATGGTGGTTGAGACGCATGCAAGATGAGAACCAATTGAAGGTAGATTTTGATGGTTAAATATGGGTTAGACCGAGAGATGCAACTGATTGGAGGCATTGGAACTAACCCAAAGAGATGCAGCTGACTGGAGGCCATGGAATTGGTAATAGAATGTCATCATTATGGAGGAGAATTGTACATTTTAAGCCTTACCTAGCAAGGAATATCAGAATTATGGTGACAAAACCTTCTTTCGTCCAATGCAAATGGTTAGGGGATGTTCCTTTGAAACATGAATATCTTGAGCTCTTCCAAAGATGCAATTTATGTGGCTTCTTTCTTCTTTTTTTGGGTAAATTAATTTATGTGGCTTCAAGTGTGGGGTTCCATACTAAGCTGGGAAACTGTAGAGTTTCTGATCTAGTTATTTCTGAGTCTGTTCTTTGATTGTAGGATCTAGAAAAAAGGTGCTATAGTCCAAATAGAAAGGACGAGGTGACATGGGTGAAACGTTCAAATGGTATGTTTTCAATGAAATCACTTTACCATCGGTTGCTTCGTGTTTTCTAAGGTACGGAAATTGCCAGTTTTACATAAAGTTCAGTTCAAGCTTTCTTATGGATTCCTTTAGCAATTAATTCATCGAGGAAAAGAAGGAATATAGTTGTTAATGTATGCATTCTTTGCAAGAGTGATGAGGAAACATGTGCTCATTTATTTCTAAGCTGCCCATTACTTATGGTGTATGGATGTGGACTTCTAAGCAAATGGGATATTCTCAAAACCCATAGGTATATAATACCACCGAAACTTACCATTCCTACCAAAGAGTGGTTAAGTAATTTGGAGATCTTTTCAAGTAGCTATTGTATGGGAGATGGGGAAAGAAATGAATCGAAATGTATTTGAAGGTTGTAACTTGATGAGGAAAGAGTTAGGGAAAGAATTTATAGAAAACCTTGGATGAATAAAGGGTTAGAGAGAGAATTTTACACAGGGTTTATGATTGAGTAATTGTCGGCAAGGATATTTGTGGGATCCTTAACGGTGATTTAATTTGTAATTTCAACAAGGTTGGAAAGTGGGAATTGTAAAGAAGTAGGATTCGTGGAAAACTCCCCTGCATGTTGTGATCCAACTGAATTTAGATGGAAGCTCATTTGGAAATCTAGAAAATGCTGGTATTGGCGGACCGATTAGAGATCATATGAGACTGTTTTGGTGGCTTGGCCCTTTTGGTGTATCAATTGCTAATGAGGCAGAGGCTATAGCTCTTTTACAAGGATTCTGTTTACCGTGGAGGATAACATTGCTAGCGTTTTATTGGTTGAAGATTCCCTCGATACAGTTAGATGGTGAAAATGAGCAGAAGATTCTTTAGATGTTAAGGGCTTTGCTGCTTGAAATTTAGGGTATTTGACATTGGCTGAGTCGTTCTTGCATATTTGCATAGATTTTAATGCGATTTCAGTTAAAAAAAAAGAAAATAAGAAAGGCTCAATAATGTAAAGATAGTCGTGGAAAATCAACGTCCATATAAATTCAAAATTCGGGCACACCACATATCCCCACTGAAGTACCAGAAAAAAGAAAAGAATAAAATAAAATGCCTTTATATAAAAAGTTACATATTAGGTGCTTGGCCTTGTTTAACCTGCATTCCCACTTTACCAAAATAATGTTAATATATATAATTGAAAGAGCCGGTGGTGGGGGCTCATCCACTACAAATGCAGGGCCCATGGAAAAAGAAGCATAGCCCAAGTGTTGTAGAAGTCCGAAAGCAATGAGCTACCCCTCTCTCAAACTTATTGTTCCATAGCAATTCCATAGATATTTTATATAGGATTTCTTTTTCTTCTTTTCGAGTGGATTGAAAAGGGCAGAGTTTTCAAGAGGGGGGCTCAGGCTTGGGCAAGTGGCCCTTCTCTTGTAGACTGATAACCGTGTCATAGAGGCACTGACTAACTGGTGTGAATTGGAGGCCGAGGTCTTTCAGCTTTTGGTTTGAGAACTTGTAAGGCTTCTTCCTTGGGTTCACTTCGTCCGAGCACCTGTGTCATTCATTGGTAAATTCACATAAAAAACAAAGACTCGTACAAGTCTTGAAAGTCTCAGTAGTTTTTCGATGATCTATAAATAAGCACTGCCCATCGTTGAATTTATTTATTCGAAGCTATCTTATTTTCTTTGTTTAGTGAGATAAGGTTGGTAGGTTTGGACCAATCAAATGCTTTTCCCCAACAATCACAGTCGCGTGTTCTACTATTATTTTAGCAAAAAGGGTAGGTCGTACCTAATATCATAGAAGCAAGGATAAATGCGGGTTAAAAGCAATAGAAAGTAAATGTTAAAGCCACTGATCTGTTTGGACAAAGTAAAAAAGCTTCGTACCCCACAGCCGAAAATCGAGCTCTATTTGTTTATGATTTGAGCCTTGAACACTAGGGAAAATAGATTTTTGCGCAAATGCAAAACCCAATCATTGAATGTGCGAAGTAATAGTAGAAATAGCGAGAAAGAGAGAGAGAGAGAAAACCCTTTTTACTGAACCCAATACACAATAATGAAGCCCAACGTTTTACCAGCCTTTTTTGTTTCCTTTCGATTGTTTCGTGGGTATGTTTGTTCATTGTGTGGTGGAAGTGGGGTCGTAGGACTCAACAGAGTTAAAATTATGGTACTTTTGTTTGGTTGGTGGAGAAAAGTAGGTAGAGAGGAGTTTGTTGAACAGGCGAGTGAAAATGATGTTTCTTAAGTTGGTAGATGGAGGACGGATTTTGTTCCATTCAAAAAACGTAGAGGGAGAGGATTTTGTTGTGGGACACCCACGACGTTCCCTAGGACCATACTCCACTCATATGCTCGCTCACATATTCATAACGTCAACTCATAATGTTTCCATTTTTTGTAATTATTTTATTCTTTAAAATGGATTTCTAGAGATTTCATCTTCTTTAGTGAAGGGATGCAGTTACCCTCACATGCAGGCAGGCTTGGCAATAAATATATTTTTTAAATATAATTTGATCCTAATCTCTAGAGTATATATAATTTTTAGCATGGAGATCATGAATATGAAAAAACAAATAAATTTTGACAACTAGAAATAATAATTATACTAAAAAAACATTCGGATAGCTAGTTAAAGTTGTTTTTTGATAGACTACCTATTTGCATCCATAGATGCTTTATACTTTTGGACCGCATATTGTAAGTAATAATTCTTAGTGAAGAACACACAAGAAAGGTTAAGAAATGGGTTCAAATGACACATGAGTCCCAGGGTTGGTATTGACTCATTGCGAGCTATCAATCCTTATCCTTCAAAAATATTATTATTTTTATTACTGGTTGTGGTTTGGCTGATTCGGGGGGCATTTAAAGGGTCTCATAGTACACAATCTTTACTTTAAAATACCCAAAAACCAAAGAACGAGATGATTTTTAAATTTCCTTTACTTTAAAATACCCAAAAACCAAAGAACGAGATGATTTTTAAATTTCCTTTACTTTAAAATACCCAAAAACCAAAGAACGAGATGATTGTTCTTGAAATTTAAAAGTTGCGTGTGAGAAAATGCTTGTGAAATGGAATGTTTATGCGTTGTTTGTGACTACAGAAATCGGCAGTCAACAAGCAATTAAGTTCTTCACATTCTCTTGTTTTTCAAAACTTACTTTGGGTTAAGGTGGAGATGTGCCGTGTACTCAACAGTCGAAGAAAGAGAGGTGCAATGTCCTTTGCTTTTAGAGGATAGATGCGACAAAAGACAAAAAGAGTCGCAACAGACCCTTCCAACCACAATTCGTAGGCTCTAAACAATCAAATTAGAGCTCACCTAAAAAATTTCATTCGAAGAGATTGTTTTGATGCTCAAATATATGCAAATTGATCATCTCGACATCAAGATGCATAGACATGAGAAAAAAATGGATTTCAAGTTTTGGAAATAATATATCTTGTAATGTATGTTGACCATCAATTATCAAGATTTTCGAGTTTTCATAGATCCGTTCGATCTACACTATATTTTAAGCTTTAAATTTTATAATTAAAGATGAAAATATATTTTAAAGCTATCACAAAGATTTTCAGTATTGAAACCACATTTCTCGATACTATTTGAAGGTGGGGTTTTACTTTGATTGTCTAGAGCATTGGCTCTACACAAACCGCACCCATTCCCCAATTTGTAGAAAGAGACTATGGGACCATTTATCTTTATAGCAAGGAGGACATAATTGCTACTGGCTGTCGGATGTCAAACCACCTCAAATTGAAATCTGATGGCCAGTCCTTGTATTCAAGGTAGTGTACAAATATTTCACTTCCTCGTAAGATCCATACACATTATTCCTCTTCTCTTGTTTTTGGACTTATCATGAAAATTGAACTAGAAAGTAAGGACCCATGATGGTTTTCCTGACTTTGCCTGATCTGTGCCATGTATAACCCATGGGACCTTTATTTCCTTTCTTACATAATTACTAAATGAGTCTGCTTTACTCACCAATATTTCCCTTTCCCTTTATGATATCCATGTATAATAACTTTTTCTCCTTTCTTGCATAATTACTAAAGGAGCCTGCACTACGCACCCACATTTATGATATTCTAAAATGGGGTTAGATCTCAAGTTCCATTATTCCTACTGTTGAACTACCCAAAAAAAAACAAAAGCAAAAAAAATCCAATTAGACAGGAATAGGTAAGAATAGAATGGTCGTACCAAAGTAGTTTCATCTATGTGATAGATGGGATTAGGGGTAAGAAACAGTTATCTAGCCTGAATCAATGGGAGTTCAATTTTGATTCTCCCTATCCAACTCCCCAAATGGATCTCCCACCCACCAATCGAACTTACCTAGGGAAATTTCAAGCCGAAACAATGATTTTTTAAGCCGAAACATTGGTCGGATAAGAAAAATTTTCACCCTTGTCATCTTTGTTTTCAAGAGAGAAAAAGGTCTGGGTTGGGAAGAGAGAGATGGAATTACTTGGCTGGAAGCAGAGAGATGAATTTAGTTATTAGTTGGAGAGAGAGAGAGAGAGAGAGA